GTGTGTGTGTGTGTGTGTGTGTGTGTGTGCGCGCGTGTGTGAGTGCGCGCGTGTGTGAGTGTGCGTGTGCATGTGTGTGAGTGTGTGTGTGTGTGTGTTTGTGTGTGTGTGTGCGCGCGTGTGTGAGTGCGCGCGTGTGTGAGTGTGCGTGTGCATGTGTGTGAGTGTGTGAGTGTGTGAGTGTGTGTGTGTGCATTTGTTTGCTCCAGATATCAAACTTTCTGCTGAAAGTGAGAAATTCACCATCTGAGCTGTCCGTGGTCCTGATCTCTGTGAAATTGCCAATTTTTCTGCTAAGCACGACTATCTTGACACATTAACATGTTGTATTACACCAGGAGAGCGGGACTAAAGCCCTCACACTCAGCAGCAGCAGCAGCAGCAGCAGCAGCAGCCTTAAAAGTGGACATGCGTAGATAAGGCGCATTTCCAGTCGAAACGTCGTTTCTGGGCACTCATTTTTTGATATTTTCTCACCTTTTTTCTCACTTTTGCTCTTTTTTTGTTTATTAATTTCAATTTATTTATTTCATTGAATTTCTTTTATTCCTTTAAAATAAAAAAATAAAAAAAACAACAAAAAATTATACACTTTACATTCATTCCTTCCATCATGTCGGGATGGAATCTGGTCCGTCGCGGGCGGCGTTCCCGTGCTCCCCGTGGTCAGACACCGACACCAATACCTCTGCCGCGGGGCGGGGGAGGTCAGCGTTCCTGCAGCCGTGGGAGAGCCAGAGCTATGTCTGTCTCCTACGGGGGGCAGGCATTTATTACTAACCCTAACCCCTAACCCAACACCGGGATCTAACCTTAACCCAACTAGAGGACTTGCCTAAACCTAACCCAACTAGAGGACTTGCCTAAACCTAACCCAACTAGAGGACTTGCCTAAACCTAACCGGATGCTGGGGTCTGTGCCTAACCCTAACCAGATAATAAGGGGGCAGAATGCTTAAACTTGGTCCTGCAAGATAGCCCAAAATAGGGATCTTGCCCAGACATAACTCTATACAGAGACGGATACCCAACAGAGGGGTCCACGTAAACATGATGAATATTAATATGGGATGCCCAAAAAGGGATCCATGGCCCTAGACCAACCCCTTGCCTAAACTTAACCAGACACAGACCCCATGCCTAAACTTAACCAGTGCACGAAACACATATATGGTCCCTTTAAACTTTAAACGGCTAAAATTTTCCCACGCTTGACTAGGATGGATATGGACTGTTTTGACTCTGGTGGAACTGGATCAGAACTACATTCTAACAATTGATTGGATCAAAGCTAATATTCAGCCCATTTGGAAATGGTTTTTAAATTTTAAAGGGGTCTTTTAAACATATATTTGTATGGGAATAATCCTTTTTGGTTTGTTTATGCTATTGACTGTGGATGGGGACACGCCCCCTTTGTGAAGAGACACGCCTCCCCCAGATACACATATAAAAGGAGGAAAGGAGACACACATCTCCAGCAGAGAGCTATAGACATGAGACAGGGACACACATCCCCTTTATAAGCTACACAAATAGAATTTTTGATTGTGCCTTGGACCTGAAGAAGACCCTAAAATTGGTCGAAACGTTGTCCTATAGGCACTTAAATGTAATTGTTTGAATATTTCTAAAATGACATAGCTCATAATTTTTTGAACCCGGGTCGGCAACATAGCCACCCTTATTGCCAGTCTGTTAATTCTAAACAGAATAACCTAAACAAACCCACAAGAACTACAACATGGAGTGAGACAGTGCGGACCGGCGGTCACCTAGTGAGAGCCCGTGCATTACCCGTTCCACGTGTTGGGACGGGGCTTTAAACATTATTCTAACCCTAACCCTTAACCCTTAACCCTTAACCCTAACCCCTAACCCCTAACCCCTAACCTTAACCCCAACCCTAGTTTGGCCTTAATAAAATAAAAAATAAATAAATAAATAATTGGATACTGGGGTGGAATTAAATTTATTAAATGTATTAAATACAAATTAGGCACAAATAATATTTTTTGATATCTAATAAATAATAAAAAAAATAATATTTAATATAATTATAGTGACAGTGCTCACAATTTTTTGAACCCTGGTGGCAATACAGCCCCAGATACACTTGATGGCGACAGAGCCTCACAGCAGCAGGGATGGAGTGGAACGGGATTGGCTGGGACAAACATCCCCCCTCCCCCCTCCCCCTCCCTGTCCCTATATATACACACACGCAGTCTCCTCTTCTCATTTCTGCAGCGACATTATGAATGGAAACATCTCTCCCAATTGTTGCTTTCAGTGCCTGACCCTGATGAAGGACCTAAAATTGTCCGAAACGCATTGGTTCCAATGGCACTTGATAAATAAATGAAGATAAACAAACAAACAAATGAAGAGAACAAAGAAGTTCAGAAAGAAAAACAAGAGCAACAAAGATAGAAATAAGAGAACAAAAAAAGTTCAGAAAGGAAGAAATGAAAACAAAAGCAACAGAGATATTAAGAGAACAAAAAAGTTCAGTACGAAATAAATGAAAACAAAAGCAACAAAGCTGATCAAGAGAACAAAAAAGTTTTGAAACCCAAAACATCCTACAGGTCTCCAAGAACAGTTGATAGTCAAGGTCAGTTAAATACAATCATTCAATGAATCTGTCTAGGGACGACAGGTGTAAATTAGCACTGATGCTACAACCTGATGTACAATGCATCTCTCCTGTCAAGGTTAATGCGAAGATTGTGCGCTGTCCCTGTCTCAAATAAATAAATAAATAAAGCTCTGAAAGAAGTAAATGCAAACATGCAAGATGTAGAGATGAAACGATGACGGCAGAAATGAGACGAAACAAACACAAAACAAACAAAAAAAACAACAAAAATAACACAATTTTTTGAACCCTGGTGGCAATACAGCCCCAGACAACTTGAAGACAATGGTAACAGACCCAAAAGGAAACAAAAACTAACAGAGAACGGCGTTGGGCCTGAGTCCGAGTAGAGGGCCCGTGCATTCCCGTTCCCACCTGGGGACGGTGCTATTACACTAACCCTAACCCTAATTAACCCTAACCCTCATACCTAACCCTGACCCTCTTACGTAACCCTAACCCTACCTCACTCTAACCCTAATTTTACAGGTGTAGTTAATTACTTACCTTTATATAAATTACTTAATTTGAACACCTTAAAATTACTTACCTTCATATAGTTTGCCTATTTCAACACATCAAAAACACAATTAGATGAAAAATGTAATTATCCATACCCACCAACATGATTTATCACCTTGACATCATCACACTGAAGGGAAGTGTTGTGACCTTAGTCTGGGGTCAATCCCTCTGACAGGGGTAACATGGAAGCACTATGATTGGCCAATCTCCTTTAATGTTGATAAACAGGAGCATTCACAGGAACTAACCTCCATCACCTGTGCAGGAACATTAAAAGGGGAACCATGACTGAGGTGGTTGCTTAGTTTGACAGTTGGGTAATTTGATTGGCCCTGGGGTCCCGGGACTCCTCCTCACACTCCTCCTCCTGCT